GCAGGAAGGACGCGATAATAACGACGGTGAGCAATATTTTCATAGAGTCACCGGTATAAATATTCCTGAATTCAGGCGTTGTCAGCCACTCTGGCCAGCGAAAACAGACAACGCCAAAGAAAGACAGTAAGGCCAGGAAAATAGAGGAATAGCCGCTTATTTTGCCTTCTCCAAAGCGGAATGTCTTTGTCGGTTTACTCATATTATACCGGTAATATTTAGCTGGTTTATCAATGGGTTGTCATGAAATTAAGAAGAAACCAATAACCTGTTTTCCCCCGATACAGGCATCGCGCTATCGATGAAACTAAAAAGGTATCGCCAGGATCTTACGTACAGGAAACAAAAAGATGGTGCGTTCTATTGAACTGCAGGGCAGGATACCTATTTTTTCAACCGGGAATTTTATTGATGAAAAAATCAGATCTTGCATCATAAACATTTAAAGCCGGCCCACTAAATACGATGGCTTTAATGCATATGCATCATACTTACAAAATAACTCTGTGCTAGAAACTATTGTAAATGGAATAAACTACCTGTTTGGAAATAAGCTAGTAAGCAAAAGTAAAATCACACTTACATCTTCTCTCCAGTTTTTAAGCCGTAGTCGTGATATTGATACGAACTATTTTGATTACATCCGCCTTTCAACACTTGAATTGTTATGCCACGAGATAAAAGAAAACAAGGTAGCAGGCAATGTTGCTGAAGTAGGCGTTTTTAAAGGCAAGTTTGCACGTTATATTAATCGTTTCTTTCCCGACAGATCCCTCTATCTTTTTGATACGTTTGAAGGGTTTGACAAAAGGGATAAGAAAACCGAAAATCAAAATCAATATTCTGACGCCAATCAGGATTTCAGCAATACTTCTGTTCAAAAAGTGCTGGACATTATGCCTCACCCTGAAAAGTGTATCGTCAAAAAGGGCTACTTCCCGGAATCTGCAATAGGTGTAAATGAAACCTTTGCGCTGGTAAGTCTTGATACGGACCTTTATGAGCCGATCTATAACGGTCTGGTCTTTTTCTACCCAAAGCTGGCCAATGGTGGGTATATCCTGGTACACGATTTCAATAGTGATCACTATAAGGGCGTACGGGAGGCAGTAAAAAAATTCTGCAAGGAAAACAATATCGGCTATATCCCAATACCCGATAAAGCAGGCAGCGTCATTATATCAAAATAGAACTTGAGTTGATGATGCTCTGGCTTCCGGTGTTTTAATATTGTGGGCAAGCTTTAGATATGTATTGTTATTTCAAAACCTTACCTGTCTCCGGATTTAGGCATTCTTTCGACGGCCGTTAATTTAATTCCCGTATCTTTTCAGGGTATCCAATGACCGTTTGTACTCCGGATCCATGAAATCATTATTCCTCATACCGGCGATGCTTATTGCACTTGCACCGGATGTCCTTGCCCAGCAATCTATGCTCGGCATACGGCAGGGGGCCGGTTTATGGCTTAGCAAGCAAGGGATCGGGCAGGGATCCTTAAAGCTCACAGCCGGCCAGCGGGTCACCTGGAATAAAGAAATTTTCTACCGGAATGCCTTTGAAAAAAAGTGGTCTTATGAAGCCAGTGTTTCCTACTTCTCTTTCAACTATATAAGAATGGGCAGAAGGTATGACCGCCGTACAGAGAAAAA